GATTTCTTTTCAGGTGCCAGTACCTAGGCCTCAGTCATTCTACAATGACTGAGCACCTGTTGTGTGCCTGGCACGTAGCTGTTGCTCTTGGAGGAGGACACGGATGTAGACAACAAAGGTTCAGATTCAGTGTGTCGAGTGCTGCGCCGAGGATTCATGTTTTTCTGTTGTAGTGGTCTGTGGTCTGCAGTGGGTCTGGAAGGTGGGTTAGGAGTTTGCCAAGAATATGGGCGGGAAGAGCTGGTCCTTGTGTAGGGAGAGTGAGGCTGCTTTTCCAAGTGAGAGGTGTAGTGACTCCACAGAACTCTGTGTGGAGGAGGCTGTGAGACAAGCTGGAGGGATGCGTTGGCACTTGTCTGTGCCAAGACACAGAGGAGGAGGTTGGTTCTCCAAAGAGGAACCGTCAGAGGTGTTCGTACACTGAAGCAGCAGGCTTGTTTTCAGACTCATCCCACGTTGTCTCGTCGTCATCGGGGCAGGTGAGTAGCAGGGCTGGAGGCTGGGCAGGACCTTTAGGAGGCTAGTGCAGGGGATTGGGCCTGAAATAACCTGGAGTGTGGCAAGGGACCCATGGGAGGAGCTTACTAATATCTGTCACTTCGGAGTTCAGTGATCGGCACCGCCATCTCCCGCAGGCCCCGAGCTAGTGTCGGCTGTACCATTTGATCAGTGTTTTTTGTTGGTTTGTTTTGTTTTGTTCTGAAAGTAAGACACCGTCTCGTGTAGCCCAGGTTGGCCTCAAGCTCACTATGTAGTCAGAACTGGTCTTGAACTCTTTATCCTCTTGCCTGTGTTTCTCAAATGCTGGGATTTTAGGTGTGCACATATTCCGACTAACAACATTCTTATCCCCTTCTCATATACAAATGGTAGCAGCCAATACATTGTCCTGTTTGCCTTAAGGTCTCTCAGCAGTTTTTCTGTTTCAAATATGTCTACAACTGTATACTTAGCACTTGGGGGGTTTTATAGATTTATTCCCTCACCTATATCTGTATCAAATGTTTCTTGGGGCTGGAGAGATGGCCTAGTGGGTAGAGCACTTACCACTCAAGCATGAGGACCTGAGTGCAAATCCCAGTATTCTGTGTACCCCGTGTATACCTGTTACCCCAGCACTGACAGGTGGAGACAGGAGGATGGCTGGGGTTGGCTGGCTGCCAACCCAGCTCCAGGTTCAGTGTCTCAAGGGAATATGGTAGAGAGTGACATCCTTCTCTGGCCTCTTGAGTGTGTGTGCACGGGCATGCAAATCCTCACACATGTGCCTGTACAGCACACACACAAATTCTGTATCATCTTCTGTAACAGCAGCTATGTACCATTCCACCACATGGTACACTCTAATTTGCTAACCCATCTCCACTAGGGGCATAGTTAGTGTTCTTATAACAAGCTGCCAGGCAGTGGTGGCGCACGCCTTCAATCCCAGCGCTACAAAGGCAGGTGGATCTCTGTGAGTTCGAGGAGGCCAGCCTGGTCTACAGAGTGAGTTCCAGGACAGCCAGGGCTACCCAGAGAAACCCTGTCTCGAAAAACAAAACAAAAAGCTGTAGTGACTGTTGTAAAGCTGTTATTTTTATATACGTCCGATAAATTATTTTTTGTTGTTACTTGTTTGTTGATACAGGGTCTCACTATATAGTTCTGCTTGGCCTGGAACTTTGGCCTAGAAAGATCAAAGTCTTTCTAGTTTATTATTTATATTTGTTTAATGTAATTATGATTTTAGAGGGTTTTTTGTTTTGTTTTTTGGGAACAGGGTTTCTCTGTGTAACCCTGGCTGTCCTGGAACTCACTCCGTAGACCAGGCTGGCCTCAAACTCAAAGATCCACCTGGCTCTGCCTCCCGAGTGCTGGGATTAAAGTCCTGTGCCACCACTGACTAGCATTTTAGAGATTATTATTTTTAGGCTGGCCTGGAACTCGAAATCATCCTGCCTCAGCCTCAGCAAGTTGTTAGGATTCCAAGTGCCCTACTTTTGATGACATGGTCGAATTATCCGGAAGAGCTTCACCAGTTTTGCTCCTGCGGGCTGTAGCTTTGTCTTCGGTAGATCGCACCTCAGCTGAGTTCCAGTTCACCTTACACCTGTGCCGAGGTTCCCTCTTGGACTCAGTGTTGGAGTTGTAGAAGCCAAGACTGCAAGCCTTTCCCCAGATGAGGAAGAGAGCTCAGACTTGGGGCGCTCGGTGCTCTGTTCCGCTCAGTCCACCCTCATTCCTTTGCAGACAAGCACGAAACAAAGCTGAAGGGGGTCATCTACTTCCAGGCCATCGAGGAAGTGTACTATGACCACCTGCGCAGCGCAGCCAAGGTGAGGCAGCGAGGACCAGGGTGTGGCTGCGGGGATAGCCATCAGGAAGGGGTGTCATGGCGTGTTCTGGGCGCAAAGGCCTTGGGCCTGTCTTCTGCCCAGGCTCCGCTTCCTCCTCACTCTTTTTACCAGTTTTCTCTTCCTTTCTTCCTCTCCCCCTCCCAGAAAAGGCTTTTCCACTTCACTATGGTGACTGAGGTACCCCTACCCCTCACGCCTTTAACTAGAACTGCTCACATTAACAGCTCCTGTGTCCTATGACCCCTGACCCCTGACTCCCCTTCCAGTCCTCTAACGAGCTCCAGGCCAGAGAGAGGAGGGAGCAAGGAGCTCCTGTGGATTGGAACCCACTTGTTGCCTTCCTCTCTGGCCCTGACAGCTGGTGTAGCCCGGAGGGAGGCGGACAGTACAGACTGGAGGGGAGCTGGAGGGGTCGGTGGGAAGTGCAGGCACTAGATCGGAGACGCGGAATTGATAAAAGGAGTTGTTGGAGGCTGAGCCAGCTAGCCTTATGCAAGCTGCCCTGTCTCTTGCCAGCCCTCAGACCCCACCTAACCCTGACCTCTGCTCCTCTAGGGTCTGGGCCAACCTCCTACTTAGAGCCTTTTCCTGCCGCTTTTTGGCTTAGAAGAGAATCTGGTTCTCACTGGGACAACCCTTGTGACAGGTTCTCTTGTATTAATTTTGGAACTGAGGCATGCCCCTTTTGGGGTTGCAAAAGTTTAGAGAACCTAATACTGCCACGTGGTAGAACAAAAACCTGTGGACCCCTGGGGACTAGGCTTTGGCCTGTTTAAGACTCGGCCTTAGGCCAGGTGGTGGTGGCACACGCCTTTAATCCCGGCACTTAGGAGGCAGAGACGGGTGGATTTCTATGAGTTGGAGGCCAGCCTGGTCTGCAGAGTTCCAGGACAGCCAGGGCTACACAAAGTAACCCTCTCTTGAACCCCTGTGTTCTCTTCGCCGCCCCCACCCCCGGCCAAAAAAGGCTCAGCCATAAATTCAGGATTTCCTGGGACTTTGAGGAAGAAGGCAGACAAGAGGCAGGTGGACAAAATGTTCTGGGCATGGAGTTCCACCTTAGCACTTCCTGTCTTGCCTTGGCAGAGTCCGAATCCTGCCCTCACCTTCTGCGTGAAGACCCACGACCGGCTGTACTACATGGTGGCCCCATCTGCAGAGGCCATGCGCATCTGGATGGATGTCATCGTCACAGGAGCTGAGGGCTACACTCAGTTCATGAACTAACTACCATGCACCGCCTGGGTCCCCAGGTCAGCCGCAGGACCCATGCCCTGCCACTTGCTGCTCGGCTTATCCCTGGAGACGGCGGCACACTGGGCACCGGGCCACAGAGGCTCAGGATGTAGTAGAGTCCCCCCAGGGCTTTTGTGCAAGAAGACAAATTGTTCTGTGAGGAGTTTGGTGCTTGAGGGTGGGGCTTGGGTCCCTAAAGGGCCAGCAGAGAGGAGAGGAAGAGGGAGAGGCTTTGTTGTGTGTTGGGAGCCCAGAAGTTCAGGGTTCCCTCCTGGGTCTGGCAGGCCCGAAGAGGAGTCGCAGAGCGGGGCTCTCACCTCTGTCCTGGCCCTCGCTCATCCCAGCTTGTTTTCTCTTTGTAAAGGACAAATTATGGTACCAGAATCTGCCAAAGATCCCCTTCTCATCTCACCCCCGTGCAGGGGCCTGGGGGGTACTGAGCAGAGCCACGTGGTGTGGAGTTGGAGAACAGCTCAGACCTGCACTGCCCAGCCCCGTTCTGCCGCCTCATTCTCCCACCTCTCCATACTTTCACTACTTTGCTCAAGGACCGGAGACCTCAGGTGTCATCCTGGAGGTCCAGCCCCCATCCTCCTGTTGCAGACCCATCACCATGGTCCCCATGGTGACTGCTTCATCACCATGGTTACACACTAATTGCCACGGCCCCTCTGTGGCTCAGCCCACTGCTTCAGCTGTGGGCCACGTGAAGGTACGTGCCATCATCTCTCCACCCCAGGCCTGGGGGCGTGTCACATGGCAGGAGGACACACCGCCCCCCTGCTGCGTTGGTCTCAAGCCCCTAGTCCAGCCCTCTCCTTCCACCGTGCCTTGCTTAGAGCCAGAAGGGATGGTGTTGGGGGATCCCAGACCAGAGGAACGGCAGCAGTGAGGGAGAGGAGGCTAAGATTCTGTCCTCCCATTCTGACGGGATTAGTTCCCAGTGAGGGTGGCTCGGGGCGTCCAGAAGGAAGCCTGAGCTGTGGGTGGGGAGGGCGGAAGCAGAGGCCCTGAGCTGTGGTACCCTCCCCTCAGTTTCCCAAGGGCGATGGGTAAAGAGTGGGGATCAAGTCTTCAGCTGGCTGGCTTCAGCCTTTGCGCCTTAACACTAAGCCACCTTCCCTGCCCTCCCCAGCACTGGACCCTGGGTTGCTGGGCCTGGCTGGGTGTTTTGCAGTATTTGTAAGCATTTCAGCAGAACAATAATAAAAAGCATTTTGACTATGTACGTGTGTGTGGAAGTCCAGGTTGTATGTGGTACCCAGTGGGGTGTTTCAGGCATTTGGATTCCATTTTCCCAAGAGTAGGGCTTTCCGCCCTAGTGTGGGCTACCGGAGGGAATCCCGTCCACAGTCTTGACCTCCTGATCACTTCTTGTCCTGGTGCACTGTGAACAGGACAGCTGGGAGGCGGGGGGGGGGGGGGGGGGGGGGGGGGGGTGAGGCAGGAGAAGGGAGGGGTGGAGCCAGTGGAGGAAGTTCCCACAGTGAGGCCATTCTTGTTCCTTGTGGTCACCATAGCAGAAGGCTGACAAGAAGGGCAGCTACCAGGGAGTGGAGTCCCAGGGAAGCCAACTGGGTCCCTGAAGTCAGCTGGTCACCATAGCGGTCCAGAAGCACCAGAGCCGCTCCGTTGGTCCAACCAAATCCTTCCTGGAGAGAGGCCAGATCACTGAGGCTCCCAAGACCTGTTTTGGGGATCCCCCCTCCCCAATGATGGTGGCCTCAGGGGCACAGGTGATTACCATTCAGAATCTCCCCTCATGGGCTCACTTACTGAGCGTCTCAGACCTAAGGGGACATACATGTTCTGGGGGACAGCAGATCCCAGGAGTTGCCTGTAACGGTGTTGACCAGCTTACGCTAGCTGCTCACCTGAACTTCATACTCCCCTCCTCCACCTGGATGTCCACCGTTGCTCATGTCATACTAGGGACAAAATCCCGAGTTAGAGGTGGGTACTGCCCCTAAGCCAACCACCCTAGCTATAGGGACAGCACCCACTGAAGGAACACAAGTCTGCACCAGGCTGCTGCTCAGGCCCCTGCAGTGCCCAAGAATGGCCACTGGGGGCCGCACTGTATTGGCTGTCTTAGGCCTGGCAATGCCTGACACATTCATTGTGTCATGAAAGGAGACCCTGATAAGACAGGCTGACCCCCAGCCAGCTGCTCACCTTCTCATACATCGCTGACATTTGGGAGTAGACTTTGAAGTTGGTCCTGATCCAATTCTGGGCGAGCTGGAAAGCCACCTCCTGAGTCCGTGGGGATGCTGACTTGGCCAAACCTAAGACCCCACCCCAGACAAGGCCTGAGTATTCAGAGACCCCATCCTGGATCTCTGAAGCCTTTCTCTCCCCAAGGCAGGAAGGGGGTCTAGGCCCTCAGATCTCCTTTCTGGACCTATGGACTCACATGTTCTTAATCCAGGGCCTGGGATTGGAGGGAAGGAGAGGCGGGCTGGGCCTACCAGCTGCCTATTTTCCTACCTCTGATGACCAGGTCCTGCAGGGGGGCCCAGGCATTAGGGAAATCCCACTGCTGGCCTGTGTTGCGAAGAGAAGTCGGGATCCCATTCTGGTAGGTCAAGATCTGGCTGTCCTAGAAGGTTCCAGGCATTGATGTGACTGTGGGTGGTGGCTGAAGCCAGAGCCAAGGACACTGGGCCCCCAGGGAAGGCAGATCCGCCCCTCCTGACCCTTCTCTTCCTGCCTCACGGCTGCTCCCAGTGGCCTCAGAGAGACTTGCGGGCTGAGACAGGCATGGCCCCCAGGGAAGGGAGGGTCCTGCCTCCAGGATGCCAGACCCGCCCCCAGTCCCCTCACCTCTAGGTATTTCAGAGCCTTGTCAATGACGCTAGGGTCTGAGAAGCAGCCAGCCCAGAGTGGGGTGAGGTTGGAGGGATAAAACTCCAGGTTCTTCTTCCCTTTTTCCAAGTCATAGTCGAACCAGGCTCCCTTCTGCTCGTCCCACAGGATGGCCTCCATGGCGGCCAAGCGCTGGGACCGCAGGTTTCTGTACTTTGTGGCCTGGGTGTCATTCCCTGTGTGGCACACTGCCTTTAGTCTCACCAGGCAGGAACCTGAGCACTGCCCTTGCGTCCCTGGCTTTAGATGTCTTTATCTTGCCCTCTTCCATATGTGGTGCCTGTAGCTAGAGTTTTTCTCTCCAGGCCTGAGCTAATGGCCAATCAGTGTTTTATTTATCAATCAATCATCCACAGCAGGTGTCCACACAGGCTAAGAATCCTAGGGACCAGGACGGTGATTCCCCAGTGCCCACTAGAATCCATGGCTCCTTGAACTAATGGTCCTGCCCAGCTCACAGGGACTTGCTGGTCTGCCTCCCAAGTTCATCATTCTGACGACTCTTGCTCTGAAGGAGCTAAGGAAAGCTTTGGGGAATGGAGAGATCTGATGTATGCACCAGAGTGTCCCCTCACTGGCCCTAGAGGTCCTCATAGAGCAAAAGGGACGGGGGTGTGAAGACAAGGGCAGGCTCCTGAGACCTTGTCTTCTGTCAATGCCTCTGTCAAGGTGAAGGCTCGAACTCGCTGGGGAGCTCTCCCTCCAGTTCCACGGCCAAGGCTGGTGCAGGAGCCCACACTGGACTGTCTCCTCTCATGGGGTACTCACCTAGTCTAGAGTAGAAGTTACTCATCAGCTCCTCTGCTTGGCACAGGAAAGCATTCAGGTCGACGGGTACCATTTTGCTGGTTCGGATGCTGCTAAGCAAATCCGGGTTTGGGCCTCCGACAAGCCAGCGTGAAGAGAAGTCCCAGCCAGACTCAGCCCCAGCCTTAAGCTCAGTCCACAGAGTCTCTCGGTCCCCTGTAAGGACAGAATAGCAACCCCAGGCCAGAACTGACTGGAGGGGCAAGCAGGCACAGATCAAAGCCAGAAATGTGCGGAGGCTCACCCCCCTCCCATCAGCCCTTCCTCCTCCTCCTCTTCCTGTTTACCTTCTGGCACAGTGTTCGCCAGCTCCTCATCCTTGCTGTAGGACTCTGGCCTATCGAAGAGGAGGACAAGGCGTGGCATCAGTAGGTACTAAGCCACTCGGCTCAACCAGAAGGTTTGGTCATCTTAACTCAGCCCCCCGCCCCCTGACACACACAGCATAAGGGGACCTCAGGCTCTCAGGGTCGCATCCGATAAGCTTAGTCACCCCCTCCAGCTCTAGGTCCACAGAGATGCTCCCATCAGAGTGAGCAGACAAGGGGCTGATGGCAGGCCAGTTTCTCACCTGGGTCCCCCATAAGGGACATAGTAACGGTTCAAGGCATAGCTTTGCCCTCCTGAGCTCACAGAGACAGTTCTGTTCACAGCCCAGAAGTCCAGTTCCGAGGCTAGGGTTCCGATGTTCTCCCTGGGTGGGGCAAGCAACACCTCAGACCATGTACATAGCCACTGCCCTTGGCCCTGGGGAGTCTCCAGCATAGGATATGCCAGCAGGCCAGCATGGGCAGGGTACCCACTGCAGAAAGCTGACATCCTGGGTGTGAGTCACGTATAGCTCCATCATGAGAGTCAGGAGTGGGGGTTGGCTCCGTTGCAGGTAATACACACGTCCACCATTAGGGATATGTCCGTAGCTGCCAAGAGGGACTCTGCTTAGATACTCCCTGGCCCACCAGCAAGGCAAGCCCAGCTCCCTGCCTGTGATTCTTTCTTACGTCTTCACCAGATCCAGAAAGTTCTGTAGCATGCCCTTCACCGTTGAGGCCATCTCGGAGAGAAGCAGACCTTCCATCACCCAGTAGGAGTCCCTGATGGAAGGAGTAGGCAGACATCACCCAGCCTTCCCCCTCTGCCCTTCACTCCCATGTTGGAGGGTTCTGGCCCTGGGTTCGCCACCACATGGTTCTGCCAGCCTCCATGAGCCCCTAGCCTCTCGGGCGTGGACACTCACCAGTAGTAGAATTCGACGAAACGCCCTCCAGGCACAATGAAGGGGTGTTCTGAGTAGATCAGGGAGAACCTCTCGGGGTGGGTGAGAACTTCTGGCTTCATCTGGAGTCAAGAAACGGGGGCGAGGGGAGCCCAGCATCAGCCTGAGGGTGGCAGCTGTGGAGGGTGGGGGCCGAGGGCCTGGCAGCCCTGGGGAGGCTGGTTCTCCTCCCTTCTGCCATGCTGTGTAGCCCAGGCCAGCTTCTGGAGTCTTAGAGTCCTCACTCCGCACCTGCCAGCCTCTGGGGGCCTGGCTCAACTTAATGGTATGCTGAGGCCCGGCCACTCCACATGGCATCAGGCAGGCGACCACTGGCACTATCCTTTGTGGTGACCCAGATGAGGCAATGCTAGTAGAGGTCTCCCCGCAACACCCCTGCTGCTACTTGAAGCCAAAGAAGGTGGAACACTCTCTCCCAGTCCTTCTCGAATAATGAAACCCATGCTCTTTCCCCAGGGGCAGTTGAGGAGATCGGGAGTATCGAGGACCGGCACGGGGCCCCTTGGGTCCTTCTTCGGCCTGTTTCTGCCAGGTCTAAGTGTGTTAGCAGGGAGCTCAACCTGCCTCGATCACTGTCAGCAAGCAGCAGAATGGGGATCAGGTATGGACCTACTGGACTGGCTGGTCCTGGGCAGTCTTAGGGCAGACCACCGGGCAGGAAAGAGAGGCCCTCAGCACTGGGCTGAACACAGGTTGGCCACATGCAGCCAAAGCGACTGTCCTTGGGACTGGGGCTGTTCCTAAAGTTCAAGAAGGCAGGGAGGCAGAGGGCATGAACCTCTGCCGTGCTCCTCCAGGCTGCAGGGGGCAGCACTGGGCAGCCCACGGGTAGCAGGACTAGCTTGGTTGGCATGGATGGTTCCCTGGAGGGTGTGAGGGGTTAGAAGCAGATGTTCCCTTTAAGCTTTCTATAAGGATTCTATTTAGGGGTCAGCGATGTGAGCTGTGTTCTTAGGAAATATCTGTGCTCTCAGGTATTGTGGGTCAACAGGCATGGCTCTGTCCCATCCCCGGAGCAGTTAGCCAGGCCATGAAGCAGGCCCAGGCCACTGATACCTTCTTTCCCAGCTTTTTCCAGATCTGGTGCAGTTGCTCCGCCCAGGCACGCAGCTTGGCATCTGAGATCTTTTGCAGGAACTGAGGGCTAGAAAAGATGACCCCACAGGGTTCATGGAGGCAGCCCCAAGAGAGGGACCCTGTCCCTGTCTTCTCTCCAGAGTGGTACCTGTCTTTCCAGTCTTCTGGGATCCAGGACTGCAGCTCCTGTCCCACGGGCTGGAAGTTACTCTGGACAAACTCCTGAAGCTGTTCCCTGGGGATGCTGTGGTTGTACGCCATGGCCAGCTCGCTGAATCTCTGCAGGACTTCCTCTGGAGAGCAGGAGACATCGAGGGGTCGGTCAGTGGGGTACCCCGAGACACATCCTGATCAGGGAAGCTTATGCTGCTCCCACATCTGCCTACTATAGGTAGAAGGTTCAGGAGAAGGCAAGGTGATTTTACCTGGAGATGTGGTCAGCGGCATATCCACAAACTGCTTGTCATCTTGGTAGAGCTTTGCCATCTGAACTTGGTGAAGGAGCTCCCCATGGCAGTATATCTGGCTGCAGAGACAGTCGGGTGGGAGTGGTCAGTAAATGGGGCTGGGGTGTGGGAGAAAACAACAACAACAACAACAACAACAACAACAACGTCTTCCTCATGTGGCCCTGGCTGTCCTGGAATTCGATATGTAGACCAGGCTGGCATCCAAATCAGAGACCTGCCTGCCCCTGCCTCCCCAGTACTGGGATTAAAGCCATGTGTCTCCAGGCCTGGCTGTGGAAATGCCTTAATAAATCTTCCCCAAGCTTGGTGTGGTGGTGCACACCTTTAATCCCAGAACTTGGGAGGCAGAGGCAGGCAGATCTCTGAGTTTGAGGCCAGCCTGGTCCACAGAGAGAGATCCAGGACAGACCCTGTGAAAAGAAGAAGGAGAAGGAGTAGGCAGTGCCCCTCAAAACCCTTCCTATGATGCAATCATTTGTTCCAGAGCACACGGCTTGGGGATTCAGGGAGGTGCCTATTGCATCTATGAGCAGGCAGCTTCCTTTCCCCGGGGCCATCTTTAGACAGCCCTGGAGAAGCTTGTCCTGTGAACAACTCTCTATGACCCACAGAAAGTTACTGGGCTTAGAAGTGTACACAGGGTCCTTCTGGAAGGCCATGTCCTCTGCTGATAGGTGGTTTGGCAGGAGGTAAGAACAGTTACTGGCATGGTCTGTGTTGTTGTCCTCACGGTAATGGCAAAATTGAATGGTAAAAGTCCCTATGCCTAAAAGGAAGACATCAGCCATCAGTCTCTGGTCTCACACATGTACACGCAGAGGGGTATGTACACACACACACACACACACACACACACACACACACACACACACACACATACACACACACACACACCTCCTTCCTCCCCACACCTCCCTCCCTCCCTACATACACACACACACACACACACACACACACACACACACACACACACACACACACATCTCCCTCCCTACACACACACAATTTTTCTTTTCAAAAGTCTTTATGGGTAGGTTTTAATGATTCATAGGGCATAGCAAATGGCTGGCAGATGGGCAGTGACAAGCTGAACTATTAAATCACTTTCCAGAAATCGCTGTAGATATTAAAGGGGGTCATGAAAGCAGCTGTGCAGACTTGGATGTAAATGAAACTGCTCGGAACTCTATAAAGTTCTGTCTTGGGACAGAAAAGCACTGTGCCAGTGTAGAACAAACACTAGGGTATGCTTCTTGTAACTATTTGTGGTGGCTTACTCCTGCAAACCCAGCACTGAGGCAGGAGGACTGACGGGAGTCTGAGGCCAGTCTGGGTTACAGAGCGAGACTCGAAAGAGAGAAAGGGAGAGGGAGAGAGATGAGGGGGGAGGGGGCTGGAGAGACGGACCAGCAGTTAAGAGCACATTCTGGTGATGCTGAGGACTTGAATTCAGTTCCCAGTATCCTCTGCAAGTAGTTCACAACCTCTTGTAACCCAGGGGATCTGACGCCCTCTGCTGGCTTCTAAGGACACTGCACTCACATGCACATGCCCACACACATACACATGTAATTTTTTAATTAAAAAAAAAGAAGAAAGAGTGTGGGGAAGGATACAGTCCCCAGAGGCTACCAAGTGACTTCACATCAAATGGACATGTTGGGAATTGAACCAAAGTTCTCTGGAAGTGCTCTTAACTGATGAGCCACCTCTCTAGTTTCTAGTTATTTTCTGTGTTTATTTTTGAGACAGGGTCTCACTGTGCAAACTAGGCTGGCCTTGAACTCACACAGATCCACCTGCCTCTGCTTTTTTTTTTTTTAATAAGATAGGTTGTTACAGCGCAGCTCATGCTGGTCTCAAATTCTAGATTCTCTTGCCTCAGCCTCCTGGGTGCTGAGATTTCCAAACGTGCCACTAAGCTCAGCCTGGACTTACTTTTAATGAAGAGAAGCATTCAGAGGAAAAGATTAATTAATTAGAGCAGGAGATCTCTCCCGGGAGGGGAACAAAGGTTGGAAAAGTGAAGAGGAGGATCAGGCCAAGTCCATGAATAATGCTAGATAATGCCAGGATCCAACCCTGGGGATGGGCAGCAGCACACTGCTCCAGCAGGGCCTCCTGGTTATTTAATGAATATTGAGGCCAAGTAGTCATGGGCAACACCCTTCGCCTCAGCTGCCAGCTGCAAGGGACAATCTCATGGCCTTCTACCATGTTCTCTGGAGACTTACAATATGCATGCACTCTGACCTCCCTTACTCCAAGGGCAGAAGACACACCCCTTGGGACACTGGGAAGGATAGCTACTCTTCTGAGGACCACTTGTGCCCTCCCTTGGGAAGGCCTGGGCTCTGTAATATAATAACGCACCCTGGGAACCAGATCTGGTCCAAGCTTGTGTACTGAGATAGGGTGACTGACTTTGTTCCCAACCAACCTAGAATTCAGAAAATAATGAACACACACAGCCCCCACCCCAGCGGTGATGCCTGTACACCATATTTGGCAAATAGATGAGGCACAGAAAATTTCTCTGTGATTTTCACAGACTTGTCGTCTATAATGAAACTGAATGGCACTGTGACGTGGTGGGGTGCTGACATGCTGGTAAGTTTAGCTGCCTAATGTAAGTGACTCATATGGGGACACTGGTACTGATGATCAAATACACTGGGAGATGGAGCAAGAGCATCCCCTGGACAGAGAGCCAAAGGAAGAGGCTGGCCTGAGAAGACCTGTAGTAGTTTCTGAACTAAGTACTTCCACCAAGTTGGTCCTCAGGCCCGACAATAGATCAAGGAGGGCTATCAGATTAGTGTAAAACACACCCACAGAGGTTATTAGGCCAGATTGGTTGTTTCTTGAAATCCATTAGTCTTCATCAATTCTTTCAAATACAGTCATAGTCTGACTGATCCCAACACTGTGTCTTCTATGTAAGTTCTCTGCTAAGTGGAAATGTCCAGATACATATAGGATGGTGCTGTTGTGAGTCTTGGCCAGCGGCCAGGAGAGTTGGCTCAGCACTTAAGAGCATTTGCTGCTCTTGCAGAGGACCTGGGTTCAGTTCCCAGCACCCACATGGTGCAACCATCTCTGACTGCAGTTTCAGGGTATCTGACGCCCTCTTCTGGCCTCCACAGGCACTGCACACATGGGATGTGCTTACAGACAGGCATAACACTCCTAAACATAAAACAATAAATAAATAAAAGTATGGGCCAGGCGTGGTGGTACATGTCTTTAATTCCAGTACTTGGGAGGCAAAGGCAGGTGGATCTCTATGAGTTTGAGGCCAACCTGGTCTACACAGTGAGTTCCAGGACAGCCAAGGCTACATAGAGAGATCCTATCTCAAAAAACCAAAATTAATTAATACAAATTTAATTAATTAATTATTTAATCAAAAAAGAATCTTGGCCAAGGTCAGAATAGCTGTGAAATAGTCAATTCAGTTCTGATACTAATCAGGCTTCACATGTTTAGGGCACAGTCTAATCAACCGTCACTTCAGACGCCAGTTGTAAATGTGAGGGTCTTCAGGCTGCTTATCGTTTGAAGTGACTGGTTACAAATTGCAGGCCCTTGGGAACTTTTACAGGAAGACTGATAGTCCCAGCTTTGTGTCCTCACTTGGGAACCACCCCTGGCTTCTGGCATGTGTAGCCGCAGTCCTGCTCCTGGGACCATGGCATCAGGGAAGAGAGAGCAAGCTCAGAGGACAGGAAAACAGCTGGACTGTTCCCTTCCCCCACAAGAAGAACTGGCTAGTCAGGTCCACCCTACCTGCTCTCTAAGTCATCCAGAAAAGCAGAGGCCTATACTAACAGACAGTCCTTCAGAGCTCCCCGAATGCTGAGTGTGAGCACACACGTGTGAAGGTGTGCAAGCCAGTCTTTGACATCTTTATCTTTCACTGTTCCCTGCTGTACATGACAAATGTCTTTAACTGCCTGTTCCAATTCTACTCCTTCTCCATTCAGGGTCTTATGCATCCTGGAGTGGCCTCGAGCTAGATATGGAGCCAAGGGTGATCTTGAACTTCTGATCCTCCTGCCTCCACCTCCTGAGTAATGGGATTATAAGAATGGACCACCCTGTCCCATTTATCAACTTCCTGTATGACAGACAGGAAGTCTACCAACTGAGCTATATCCTCAAACCTTTAAGGTTAATGTAATTGTTTTTTCCATTATCTTTCTGCCTGACCATTATGAACCAGGCCATTAGTCCCTGCTCAGGAGTTGGTGAAACCCAAACTCAATGGCAAAGTCTCAATTCAGCCCATGGAGTTGATTTCTTGTTTTCTTCAATCAAAACATCATACTCCATGTTCACCTTGCAATAGACATTTATAAAACAAACTGTGGGTCCATTGAGGGTGTCCATAAGGCACAGCCCTCTTTCTGAGAGCATTATTCCAACATTTCCCAGGATGCCATAGTCTTTCAGGTGCCAACAATATCTCATGCCCTTTAGTTTTAGGGGAAATTTCAACTAATATCTGATAGTAAGCTACTAATTACCTTATCAGCTAGAAAGTCTCTAGTCCAAAGTATCAGAGATTATGCTGGGTGATCAAAGGCTGCTGTGCCAAGGCCTGATCTTTACTCCACAGAAGGTGATCAATCCCTTTGGGAGTGGAGGTGTATGCCTACAATCAAGTGGGTGAGGGAGGAGGATTGAGAGTTGGAAGCCAGCCTGGGCTACACAGTGAGACTCACTGAGCCATCTCACAAGTTTAATTTTTGAGATGGGGTCTCATGTAGCCCAAGGTGGCCTCCAGCTTGCTAAATAGCTGAGGATGACCTTCAGACTGACGTTGAATTTGTAATTCTCCACCTCCCGAGTGTTGGGATTAGAGGTAGGTGCCACCACGCTTTGCTTACGCAGTGCTGGGGTCAAGCCCCGGACTTCACCCTTCCCCAGCGAAGCTACCCCCCACATCCTACTTCTATACTTGTATTTTTTAAAAGATTTTTTAAGAAAGAGAGCGAGTGTGTGAGCAAGTGCCCAAGGAGTCACTTGGAGCTGGAGCTCTAAGCAGGTGTGAGCTGCCAGGTGTGGGTGCCGGGAACTGAACTCCAACCCTCTGAAAGAGCGGTGTGTATTCTTAAACACTGAGCCATCTCTTCAGCCCCTGCTTTTTCTTATTGGTGTCCTTTGCCTCATTTATCAGAGTCCGTTCCCTAGGAATTGAATCCATCATCTCAAAACCCCCCACCGCTAACTTACCACAGCACAACTACTCTGTTTTTTGTTTGTTTGTTTGTTTTTGAGACAAGATCTCTCTATGTAGCCTTGGCTATTCTGGAACACACTATGTAGACCAGGCTGGCATGAGTATTCTTCAGTACCAAAGCAACCCTGTGGTCACCCAAGAATGAAAACTTTCTCATCACCTGGCATATATTATATATATTATGAGTGCTCTGCATATAAACCTGCACACTAGAAGAGGGCATCAGATCCTATTATAGATGGTTGGGAGCCACCATGTGGTTGCTGGGAATTGAACTCAGGACCTCTGGAAGAGCAGCTAGTGCGTTTAGCCTCTGTACCATCTCTCCAGCCTATCACCTGACCTTTTGTCCTTCCTTTTTCCAAACAGTCCCCTCAGGGGTTGGCATCATTCTCCTAAATCACACACTAACACCAATTGCAATTTAATTCTGGCACAAGCCACCTGGAGACATGCGGATTCCACACACAAGGTTAAAGGATCAGCCCTTCCTTTATGAAGAGGACAGTCATAAGCTTAAGGTTCTCATACCACTTGTACTGTGTATAAATGTGGGGGTTCCCATAGTCTCCTCAGAATCCATTATTTGCTGGAACCCAGAACCCAGGAAATCATCATGTCTGTGATTGTGTTTTTCTTTTGCTTTTATTTTTGAGACAGGGTCTCTCTGTGTAGCCCTGGCTGTCCTGGAACTCGCTTTGTAGACCAGGCTGGCCTCAAACTCCTGAGTGCTGGGGTTAAAGGCATGCACCACCACCGCCCAGCTAGTTATATTTTTCTTATTGGGAGCAATCAGGATGAGCCAAATGAAGACCCACACGAGAGCACAGGGAGAGTCCCGACTACTGTGATGTCCCTTACTGTGGAATCGTGACATTTCACCCTCCCAACTCCTGCGGTGTCTCCAGCCAGAAAGTCTCACCAGTGTCTGGAATTTAGAGTTTTGGTCAGGGTCTCATTATAATGAGCACTATTAACTGAGTCACCGGTCATGTGATTGAATGCAATGTTCAGGAACCTTCCTTTCCCTGAAGCTCCAATGATAGCTTGTGACCCAAACGTCCAAGTTTCTAAACATAGTCTTGTGTTTCTGGAGTGGTTGCTGTCATCTCGAGTTGTCCTGGAAGCATGAGCTCCCTGGGGACACACATGCCACAAAGTCGCCTTATTTTCATAAGCCATGAAGGCCCATGATGAGCAACGAAGGCAGTCCTAACATGTGAGAAGTTCCAAAGGCTTAGAGATAACCTGCCAGGAACCCAGGAGGAAGACCATTCGGATCCTTCTTCAGAGCAGAAAAGCTCTAACTGCACAAGAGACTGGTTCCCACCTGCACATCGCCAAGCCCCCAAGCCACCTGTGAGAACAGCGCAAAGACACCAGAATGTGCCGCCTGGTGAGCGTTTACATGGGGCTTGGAGCACACTGGGTATCTTAGACTAATGCTGGGATAATGGTGGGGGCAACAGGCCACACAATATCAGTTTAACCTTTGGAGACCTGGAGAGGTCACTGTGAAGACACCCCCCTCCCCCTTCCGGAAAAAAAAAAAACAAAAAACAACACCGAGACTCAGGAGAGCCTCCTGGCTGGCAGTACTCCATGTGCACGTGCCCTGGGAGAGGACAGCTGGAAGGTTGAGTTCCTTCTCTCCTGGACTCTGCCCTCTACATCTGTCCCTTCAATGGCTGTCATCCACGAGCACACACGTGACTGTCCGAGTAGAGCCCTGACGTGCCAGGGACAGGCAGTGGGCACTTCTGGTGCACACTCTGTAAATAGCCTAACAGGACTCAAGAGACTGGATAGCATGGCCACTCTGAAATCCTGCCTACTGCTGATCAAACAAGTCCTACTAATTATTCCAGATCCTTCCTTTCCTTCTGTGCTACACAGCTGGTCATCAACAAGTCTCCACAACTCCGTCTTCAAAACGCACCCCTTAGAGACTCCGCCCCGCCCTTCCTGCCACCAGAGCGTGAACACTGGTCTCCTTTCCCCTCATGGCCTGTTCCTGCTTCTGTCCCAGATTCCTGGGACTTGGTGACCATTGAAAGACACCTGGGAGCCTTTGCACTGCAGACTGTGCCTGGCTGTCCCCAAAGGTGGCTCCTTCCAGGATTCTGGTTGTCCATTGCCTCCTCTGAGATGCCTCCATTGTATCACCTCTGTTTAGTCCTTACTTAACTCCCCAGCTTCCCTTGACTCTTCTCCCTCCTAGGCTCTGGTTTTACCCTTCTTTCAAGAGCTGGTGATGTGGGAGTCCGTGTGGAAGAGGGAATGGCAGCGCCATGTCCAGGAGGCAGGATGGTGCTCTCATCTGTGCATTTGCTGGCAGAAGCTTGGGCTCAGGGGACAGGTTTGACTTGCCCCAGGGCACAGAGGGAGCAACAGGGCAGGCTGAACCTCATGGGTTCTTGACAGGTCCTAGACTCCCCTCACACCAGGCTAGGAAAGGTTTGCTAAAACCATGGAGAGAACAGCCCTGCTCAGTCCAAGGAACAGCTTGGGTGGTAAGCTCTGGCCAGCAGCACAGCTTGGGGCTGTGGTCAACAGTTCTGGGCTCACCCCGACACAGTGAGTTTGGTGTCTGGCACAGGACCTACCCCTTCCTTGTCCTCTGAGAGGCCGGCCCTCAGAGCGTAGCTCTCATCCCAGCCCCCCACCCCTGCCTTTCTTCCTACACTCAGCTTCCCCAAACTCCTACCTCTCACAGGGTGGCGGTAGGGCCTCCTGGGACCTGAGTCCCAGCCCCAGCAGAAGCAGCAGGTACAGCAGCTCCCAGGTCATCCTGGGCACAGTGGCTGTGGCTGGAACTGAATGAGCAAGCCCTGGCACCTCTGGCTTGCAGGGCACGGCCTGCTTCACTTGCCTACCCAGGTCAGGCAAAGTCCAGGCCATGAGGTGTGGCCACCCAAGGTGGGATGTGTGCTTCATTGCATTGTGTTGTTAGCACTTTCCAGCCACAGTGGCCACTAACTACCCCATCAGCCACCATTAGTGTTTGTTTCTTCCATTTCTCAATCCCAGCTGACGTCACAAGCTCAGGGACTTTCCTCAGAGTCATATGTGTGGGCACCCAAGGGCCAGGGCCACAGTTGCGGTCACCCGTGTATGAGTTAGACACCAAGTCTGTGGGTGGCTCCCAAGTCACTAACGTCAGAAGGGAGCATTTCTTTTAACATTTTAGACAGAGTGGCTCAAGGCTTCTCCAGTGTGATGCCAAACTCAGACCCTGATAGTTATCTACGGGAGACACTGTGAGGACACAGGACGGCCTTTCCGGGATGGGTCAGGGAGACCCACCGTAGGATGCTATCTGCAGGGAGTCTTGAGGGATACAGTCAGGACACCATTCTACCACATGGGGCATCCAGAGACTTGGCATCAGTGCAGGGGAGGTTGTGTGGCAGGCTGAAAGGACATGTTGGCACCAGTTTATAGTGGCAATTAAGGAGGCAATTCCACGCAGTTTATCTGATAGTCAAAAGGGGTTTATTTTGAGTCAACTTACAGCAAGCCCAGGGGGTCAGTTACGGGATCAGGAGAGGTGAGGCGCAGTCCAACACGCCTCTCTGGAGAACTCTGACCTGGTCTGCGGTCCAGCGTCCAGGATCCAGGATCATGAGGTAGCCAACAGAATGAGCACGGATGTATTGCAGGTCTTAAGGGGTCCCCACCTCTGCACAGTTACCTGCTGCCTACTGGGGCGGTGCTTCAGGGGTGAAGCCCAGACAACCACCCTACACCAGTTAGTGAAAAGGTCAAGACACAGAGGCATTCAGTTCCCCAAAGAGAGCCAGTGGAAGTTGTGAGCAGAGCAGCAGGGTTAGGCTTTCAGAAGCTCGTGCCTCCACATGGTGCGGGTGAGGAGGGGAGGCGTGTTGGACAGAGACACAGAGCCCTTGGGAGGCTGCTCCAAGGACACAATATAGGCCATCCAGGTCTTGGGCCTGAAACAGGTGTGGGAGTGGGGGGGGGGGGGGCGCAGGGAGGAGAGCTTACTGGCAGCGGTGGCTTCTTCTGAGCTCTGTGGTTGGCATGTCCTTTCCTGTAGGGCTGAGGCTGGCAGTCACCAGGCTGAGCACTGGTTGTCACCGCTAAAAGAAAAACCAGACAAATTACGCTGAGTGGTGTTTACTGGAGCGAGGGAGGGATTCAGGAACCAGATGGCACCTTGAGGCAGTACGGGGTTCGAGAGCTTTAGCCCGCCACCTGCAAGGCAGATTGATAAACAGCAAAAGGAAGGGATGTCGGTGGGTGACGGCTTCACCAATGCACACTTGCCTTGTGTGGACTGAGAGCAGATCTCAGCCTGTGATTGGCCAAAACCTCAGCCCCTGTGTTTGGCTACCTGTAAGGAGGCTCCCTCCATTTAGACTCCTGATTACTCACAAAGTCTGCAGGGGTGCAAAGCAGCTTTAGGACTAATGTAAATTATTCGGCCTCTCAATTTTAAGAGCGTGACTAACTCCTTGGACCCAGACATCACTTTTTGTCACCATTCTAAGGGACTTCTTTGGCCTTAGTATGGATTTACAATTCGCAATGTCAGATTAACTGGTTGCTAATTCTTCCTTGGCATTCTGCTCCTCTGTTCAGATAGAATAGGATTGATATGGAAAAGATGGCTGCCAAGGAGCACTTAGCACTCTGGAGCGGAACAGGACACCAGAGAGATTATTATGCTGGACATCAGGAGGATAACGCCACGAAGCTGAAGGACAGTCATCAACAGGTGTAACTCATCAGAATCAAGCAATTCAGAGTTCAGTGAGGACAGCTAAACTGTATTCTAATCCAGTAAGTCACAGTCTTTGTTCAGGGTCTGACTCTGATTAAAGACCCTTGGTTTGCTGTGGCCTGAGATGAAGAGCCATCCATCTTGTGATTACCCTGATAGCACATGTCACAGAAACCCTGAATTCCATTGTTCTGCTTTGGGTCTGAAATGGTCCCCCAAGCTCATGTACTGAAGCCTTGGTCTCCAAATGCAACAGTGTTCAAAGATGCAATGACTCTTGGGAGATGGTTGGATCATAAGGGCTCTGACCTTATCAGTGTTTTCATGATTAGGATGGCTTAACCTTGGGAGGAGGTGGAAACTTTAAGGTGAGTCCTGGCTGAGGAAGTGGGCCACCGGGAGTGTGTCCATAGTGCATTCCCCCTTTCTGTCTCACTACAGACTTCAAAGCAAGTGGGCCAAATGTAGACTGAAACATTTGAAAATATGAACCAAAAGAAACCTTTCCTCCTCCTTTTTTGTCTGTTTCTTGAGACAGGCTCTCACTATGTAGCCTTGGCTAGTGTGGAACTCACTATGTGGACCAGGCTGGCCTAGAACTCATAGAGATCCACCTGCCTCTTCCTCCCAAGGTCTGGAATTAAAGGAGTGCATCACATCTCCCCCAAACCTCCTCTTTTAAATTGAATGGTTCCAGGGATTTTGTTACAGCAATGGAAAGCTCACACCCATTAAAAGATGCAGGAAACTTCAGAAGGGAGCCAGGCATGGCATCCAGTCTCAGCTATGTAGAAAGTTCGAGGCTAGCCTAGGCTACATTAGTGCCTGTCTCAAAAGATAAGAAAAGAGAAAAGGAAAGCTGCATGGAAGAGCCAACAAAGTTCAAGTGAGGCGTCAGGCAGGGTGCCTGCAAACCAGCCCTTAGCGGCTCTTAGAAACACCTCATGTAGCCAGGTCTGGTAGTACAAACACCTCATGGTGCACACCTTGGATCCCAGCACTCTGGAGACAGAGGCAGGCAGATCTCTGTGAGTTCGAGGCCAGGCTGGTCTACATAGTGAGTTCCAGGACAGCCAGGGCTACACAATGAGACCCTGTCTCAAAAACAATCAGCAGCCGGGCGGTGGTGGCGCACGCCTTTAATCCCAGCACTCGGGAGGCAGAGCCAGGCGGATCTCTGTGAGTTCGAGGCCAGCCTGGGCTACCAAGTGAGTTCCAGGAAAGGCGCAAAGCTACACGGAGAAACCCTGTCTCGAAAAACCAAAAAAAAAAACAATCAGCTTCCCATGTCCCCTTTCTTTTTGAGAAATTTCCTTGAGAAAGGTGTCCAGCGGCAGGATCTATCTATCTATCTATCTATCTATCTATCTATCTATCTATCTATCTATCTATCTATCTATAAAAGGCAGTATTTGCCATTCTGGGTGGGGTGGGGCAGCAAGACGGCTCAGTGGGTAAAAGCACATGCTGACAAGCCTGACGACCTGAGTTCCATCCCCAGAACATACTTGGTAAGAGAGACCTGACCTCTCCACATGTGCCCAAATTGAGAGCACTCGAGCACACACATGCATACATACATAGATATTAAATAATCAAAAAGTTGCCGGGCGGTGGTGGCGCACGCCTTTAATCCCAGCACTCGGGAGGCAGAGGCAGGCGGATCTCTGTGAGTTCGAGGCCAGCCTGGGCTACCAAGTGAGTTCCAGGAAAGGCGCAAAGCTACACAGAGAAACCCTGTCTTGAAAAACAAAAAAACAAAACAAAACAAAACAAAAAAAAAGTTTAAATTTAGCTTTTTGTAGCAATAAAACAAGGGTCAAGATATGTCTAACATCAGTTTTGTTCAGTGTGTCACACGCAATCCCCAACATGGGCAAAGAGGAATTCCATAGCTGCACACTGTTCCATTCCCTGCTTTTGTGGAGCACAAATGTTCCCACCTGCCTTGTGGAGACACACTTTCTATGTAAGCCTCTGGGGGCGTCTGATTGGTTACCAAACCCAGAAGTTCCTCTAATTTACAGTGTTTGATTGGAACTTCCAGTTTGCTCCGGAAAGTCCCATTCTGTCTGTCTGTCTCTCTCTCTCTAAACCCCGCCCTCTCAGAGAATCTCCAACAAAGAAAAGGCTACAAAAAGTCCAGTTCTGCATTCCTGGCGACTATTGCAACTTCCTCCCCTGTTGCCACCAGGAGCCCAAGTCCCCACCTAAGCATTCCAGCTTTTAACCATACCTGGGCACAACCCCAGCTTGTGGTGGGCACGTCATCACCCCTCACCTACAGCTATATAATCTCCCTGCTTTAGTTTGAGCCTGTGGCTTCTCCGGCCTCCATCTCTGGGACTGGAGAACCCGCCAGGGAGCTGGAGTTGCTTTACTCAAATAAACCTGTTGGTATACTTTTTCAATTCGGCTTGATCTGGCTTACTGCATCGGTGGAGAAACCTATTATCGAGGGACAGAAAACCTATTATATAGATTGGCTTCTCGTTTACTAAGTAACCTGGGTTAGCCTTGAACTCAAAATTCTCCTGCCTCAGCCTTGCATGTGTCACCATGCTGGGCCCTTGACTGGGCTTTAGTTCCACAGCTAACCAGCACCCCGCTAGCAAGAGCATGTGCTCAGTAGCCTTATTGGAAGCTTTTCTCAGCAGAGTGAACGTATCTTCATCTATTTTGAGATTGCTACTAATTTTGGTTGTTGACTATTTCGTTTCTGTTTATGGGGGATGCAATGGGCACTTCAGGGACTGTGTGCATGAGCCAGATCTGAAGCAGTGAGAAGGCAAAAGAGAGTGAGCAAATTCCTCAACAGGCGCAGGGCCTCAGGGCCTGGAAGACAGGGCCACCTAGTGGCCTCGAGCGAGTTCTGTTAAGTTTGTTTCGGGTCTGTGTAGCCCTGAGCAAAGTCTGATGGGAAACTTGTTTTGTTTTCTTTCCTTTTTTTTTTTTTTTTTTTTTTTTTTTTTTTTTTTTTTGGTTTTTTGAGACAGGGTTTCTCTGTGTTGCAGCTCTGGCTGTCCTGGAACTCACTCTGTAGACCAGGCTGGCCTCAAACTCACAGAGATCTGCCTGGCTCTGCCTCCCGAGTGCTGGCATTAAAGGTCTGCAGTGTGCCACCACTGCCTAGCAATTGTGGTTTCTTAATTGCATGCTACAAGAGCCATTAGGTCTATTAATTGAAAGAGACTTTGTTGGACATAATACAGTGACATTATATAAGCAATTACCCATACCTAGGTAAGTAGTCCCCAAGTCATGAGTACTTGATACCTGGAGGCACAAAATGCCTAGAGATCCATCCGCCTGCCTCTGCCTCCCGAGTGCTGGGGTTAAAGGCGTGCGCCACCACCGCCTGGCTACCTTTTTTTTTTTTTTAATTAACATTTTTTCCATTTATTTTACACACTGACCACAGTTTCCCCTCCCTCTTCTCCTCTTGTTCCCTCCCCCTTACTCCCATCTACCCCCTCCTCCTTTGTCTCTATTCAGAAAGTGTCAGGCCTCCCATGGGCTTGAACAGAGAGCAGGGCACATCAAGTTGAGGCAGGACCGAGCTCCTCCCCCTGCATAAAGCCAGGGCAAGGTAATCCAGCATGGGGAACAGGTTCCCAAAAGCCAGCTAAGTACCAGGGACAGAACCTGATCTCACTGCTAGGAGCCTTACACACAGACCAAGCTACACAACTGTCACACACATGCAGAGGGCCTAGATCAGTCCCATGCAGGCTCCCTAACTGTTGGTCCAGAGTCCATGTGCTCCCACCAGCTCAGATCGGCTGTCTCTGTAGGTTCCTCTGTCATGACCTTGACCCCTCTGGCTCGTATAATTCCTCCTCCCGTTCTTCAGGATGACAAAATACCTTTTGCAAGCACTACTTGGACAGGATTTGTATATTTGATAGCAACTAGGCTAATAGTAGAAAATATCAGAGTATTGTGTTAATCTGTTTTGAATTACTCTAATGAAATACTTGAGGCAATTTACTTAAAAAGGGAAAAGGTTTATGTTTGGCTTATGGTTCTGGAGTGACCCGGTCTTTGGGGCCATTAGTGAAGGTCCAAGATTGAGTGATCCTGTTACTTTGGGCCTCTGGTGACATGCTGGCAGGACCACGTGTGGAACAAACTACTTACATCATAGGCCAGGGAACAGCAACCCCGAGAGACGGGTATCCCCGAGGACATCATCTAGGCCGCAGCTCTTAAAGTTTCTCTCTCCTTTG